GACTATTTAATGTAAAGTTTTGTAAATACAATCCTACCAGTAGGGTTGTATTACATAAATTACAATTTTACATTACATGTAATTTTACATAAGTTACAGAAAATCAATTTTTATGTTAACTTTCACACGTCATACATAAAGTACCAGATTTACAAAATTTTGGCCAGCATTATGGTATCGATTAATTTGAATGTACTATTCAAAATGTAAAACCTAAATCACCAAAAATTTGATCTCAGAAACTAAATATCATGTGTTCAAAATTACAATTACATGAAATTTTAATTTATAGAATCTTACACAAAGTTTCGTAAAACTACGTAAAATTACTGTAATTTAACAATTCTACCTACCAGAAATATGAATTAATTCTACCAAAATTATGTTAATTTAACGGATATCCTGATATCCAGATTCTTCATAATAGATTTATTATAAAACTAAACTAGCAAATATTTAGTTCGCATCTCTACTAATCACTATAAAACTGTCTTATGTAAATGTGAATTTAAATTTCTTACTGGCCTTAAGTTACTTAGATAAAACACAAAATTTAAAATGAATTTTACTAATACTAAAGATTTATTTGTTAACTTTACAAGAAAATCACGTAATTTGATGTAAAATAATGACTGCAATAATGAACTACACATACAAAACATCCTCTTATCCAAAATTTCTACAAAAAAAAATTAATCATTACTAATCTCTTCTACATATGCCAAACACTTTTTGAATAAATTTTCAGCTATTTTGATGACTTTTTTTTTGTTAAACACCTTCTCAATTACAAACGAATTACATTTATCAGACTTATCTGCCTTTTTGCTTATTTTAACCTTGGAAAATATTTCAAAGCCCTTACTTTATACTCTAATTTTGCTAAATTTATATTGAAATTTTGCCCAAAATTATACTTTAATTCTGTCTAAATTATATTCTAATTTATACTCTATTTTTTCTAAATTCAAATTCTGCTCAAATTAAATCCTAATTCTGCCAAAATTTTTATCTTAATTTTGCCCAAATTTATATTCCAATTTAGCCTAAATTAAACCCTAATTCAGCCAAAATTTATAATTTGATTATAAATTTAGGCAGAATTAGAGTTTAATTTAGGCAAAAATCGAATATAAATTTGGGCAGAATTAGGGTTTAACTTAAAAATTGGTTTGGATTATTTTGTATTGGCTTATTTCAGCTATTGTTGTTTGAAGAATTTTGGATGAGTAAAACTGTATAATGTAATTTGTAAATTATTTAGTAATAGATAATTTATTCTTGAGTATATATGTATTACCTTAATCCATTCATTTATTGTTTGTATATATTTGATTAAATGAAAATTTTATTAAAATTAGTAGGTAAATTTATATTTTAGAATTCTCAAAGCTTAAAATTTGTATATAGTTTTTTTTTGGTTTTCTTTTTAATAAACAAAGAATCCACTCTCACGAATTCTTTGAACTTGTACAACAAATTACTTGGTTTATCTTCAAAATACATAGGGCAGTATCTACAATTTACATTAACCCAATAGTGTATTATGCGGTTTCAATTCATTTTATATAGTTAACCAATTTGAAAATTTTCGAGACCGTATAATCTGGACACACTAAAGGTAATTCCTAGTATTATGTTTGTATTGTCTTTAAGATTCCTATAACAATAATGATTTAATGTAAATTGTAGAAAATGCCGCAAAAAATAAATATCATCTATTCTATCACTAGTTTAAATTTGTTTCAAGTTAAAATGTTGATTAATACTTCAGATTTAATAAAAACAATAGTATATCCTTACAAAATAACACCTCTAAATGTAATACAAATCTTTTATAATCACATGATGTTTAACTTATCAAAGAAATTTTTAACAATTCAGGTTTTTTATTTTAAAACAATATATAAATATAATTCTTCATCTTAATTTTGGTGACAAATAATATAGAATTCTTTTAGTTTTAATTGTCACTGAAAAAAGAGTTATTTGTCACTGAAATTAGAATTCAAATTAAATTATAAATAAAACCCTAATCTAATGTATAATATTGCGTGAAATAAGTTAATTAAGTGTAAAGTATAAAAGTGCCTTTTTACGTACTAAATATCTTATTTTACATATATATACTGAACTGTAATATTACTTAAATTATATTAACTATCAAGTTTCATTTGTAATAATAATATCCTGATCTGTTGGGAATTAGCAGAAATAAAGTTTTCGCTTATTCACATACGGTCAGGATATTATTAATTAATCCTCTTGTGATCTTGATATAGTGATCGGGGATTACTTGTTAAATATCCCGAATGTAATCAATCTTTGTTTTGTTTATTACTGACAATAGTATGTAATCATTTAAATTCTTTGAACAAAATATTCTTGCATATAGGGATTGGAACCCATTATTCGTTTAATAGTATCATCAAGTATTTTAAACCAGTGTTAGCAAACATATCAATTGATTTTGAAATTAAAAGTTATAATTTGCTACCATTAGATAATTTACTAAATTATTATGAAAAACTTGAAGAATTTATTAATGAACTTAATTACACTGGGGACATAGAAGCTGGTAAGCTTTAAACTCAAGAGAATGACAAAAATTTACATTTTGTATAAATGCAGGTGGCAGAATTAGAAAAAAATATAAAATAGTAAATTAATAGCTTCTGGCATTTAAAAGTTTGTTAAAGAGAGGGAGCTGATTATTAGGGGGTAGAATACTGTAATTGGAAATATGTTTTTCAAGAACTTATATTTATTCAAAAATAATTGTTGTTGTTGCTTTTTACCTATATGTAAC